TAAAATATTGGCTTAATAATTGGTTCCTTGGTGAATTTTCTTCTGATAACAAAGTTTAATTTAAATATTGTGTAAATTGTTAACGTACTTCCACGAAATTTAATATAGCGAACGAAATATTGTCGTTATCTCGAACTTTTATATGGTAGTTATTACGTTACAATTATCTTAAACTATGAGCAAAACTGGGACACTGCTGACACTTGGAAAAAATCTCACAGATGCGCTTTATGCGGTTAAACGATTCTTCTTGGCACGCCTAATGACGTCATACGACTGCATTAAACTAGGACAGGGTTTAACGCGGCAAGTTCTGCAGCGTGTATTCGGTCGCGATAAAACCGTCAGGATACGATTATCGTTGGATTTAGTTTCTTGCAGATTTCGGTAAACTCGATTCACGAGCTTTCTTAGTGAGACTCTATTCGTGTCTCGAAAGCCGTTGGGATCGGTTTTTTCCTCGCGGCACTATTTTCATTCATAAAAGTAGCACCGGCGATTTCATTTTCTAGCAGAGAATCACGTTCGCGGTATAAATGCCGTTCATTGATGTCGATGCTGCCACGATCAATATTGTACACCAGGCCGCGTATTGAATGTAATTTACACGGTCCAGTTGCCTCGCATGCGACTAATCGAGAGTCACATGCGCATTTAGACGCGCATTTTTCTTCGATCGGCCGACGTTTTTAATAATAAAATCAAATGTATTTTATCGTCCACCTTTTCTTGCGCAACTCCCACGCGGTGACACGTTAAAAAAAGAGAACGTCCCGTTGGTTGTTGCATTAGATCCTAATATAGAAACGAGGACGTGTCCGCGTCTCCCTCGGCATCTAGAAATTAGCGGACGACCAGCAACACTACGCGGCCTGCTACTCCAGGTTACTTTCTGACGTCACTGCCAGCCTCTTGACGTCATTCACCTGTATCTGCTTCTCTCTTTGTTGCGTCTCGGGAGATGTCTTCGCCACTTAGGATTCGATGACCCAAATGGTGTATCACATTTGCCATCTATTTCGCTACTTCGACGAAACAATTATGAGACGAATATTATTTAAAAAAAAAAAAACGTTCAAAAAAGCAAACGAGTTGCAGTTTTTGATCGATCGATCGATGCACTTGCGTCACGGTATATTTTAAGACATCATAATGATTCCGTGCCAAAGTGAGACATTAGCTTTCTATGGCCTATAAACCAATGAACTGTACAGTTATTAACTAAAAGATTTAATTTCAGAGAAGGGTGAGCAGTGGTCTCTCCGTTATTAATTTCTCTCCGCTAAGACGAATACGTACTTTGTACGTACGATAAAACCAAATTGGAATGCCAAGTCCAGAAGTGAAGCTCAATCGAGCGATCATAGAAGTGACCGTAAATCAGATCATAGCTCGCGCATCAGGTCAGGTAGAAAATTACGGCACAAGGATTCGACGACAATGTTAGCTTACCGAGCATGAGGATGATAAGTCATAAAGGTAGCCAAGTAACCAGAAACATTGGAGGGCAGGTGCGATGAACGTCGTGCCAGTCTGTCGACCAACTGTCGCTCCACTCCGCGTACGATTACTGGTTAGCGTTCTCCCCTTTTACTTCGGTTCGGTGCCCCAAAGAGTCGACCGGTGCCAAAGGCACGACCAAATATTCGATGTACTTGGCACAACCCCGCGGTTGTGTACGATCGGGCCGAGACGCAACCGGAGAGGCCGAAGAGCGAAAGAGCAAGAGCGCGTTGCATTGGACGTTGACCCGTGCGACTCAACTGTTGCTCCCATTCGCGCATCCGGGAGTCCGTCGAAGGGAGACGACCTAGGGAAGATTTGATAATGGACGAGTTCTTCCGTCGGGCTCGAGTGTTTATCACGTAAATTTAGTCTGGAGAATGGTTACCGATCAAATTCGTGGCACACACGATTGGGAGTCACTTCACCCAGAAAAATGTCTGGTTGGATTTAATAATTTGAATTCTGAAAATAAATTTTGAAAGTGAACGAATCAGAATTATTTGGTTTAATCTATTAATTTTACTATTATACTTGAGATAATACCAGAATTCGAATTAATATAATAAAAATTTTATGGCTCGTCCATTTTTCAATCAGATATTTTTCTCAGTTTGAATTTCGCGCTCAATGTGCTGTGTTTTCGTCGAAGATGTCAAGAGCAGATTTCAATTTTCTCAAGTGGATATAATTTTGGAATTTGATAAAAAAAGAAGGCTGTTAATGTTCAGTTTAATCGAATCGAACAATAATAAAATGTGGAGAGTCAGGTTGTATTAAACTTTATACGTTTAGCGTATTGGTGCAATATTTAGTAAATGTCGCCAAACATAATAACAATAACGAACCGTTGGTAATGAAATTTTATAGATAATTTTTTAAATCGCCGAGAAATTTGTGAATTAAAAATTAAAATTATTATGAAGGTGTTTTGTAAAGAACAAGTGATATGTTTTATGCTTTTCTTGTTGTAAAAATAATCTTTTTGTCATTCAAAGACTTGAGAAATAACATTTTTAAGTCATCATATAACTACACTACAAATTACCAGTTGATGTTCTATTTTAGTCAATCACGATGTAGCGAATATGAACTAGCTGCAATATGATTGGTTAAAATAGAACTGTCAACCGCAACTGGTAAAAGCAAATCGAACATAGCCATAAAATAACGTAAAGCACTAACGTCCGTTTCTACCAACATGATTTAATTTTAATCTCGTTCGTAAGTTCAACTTTTCATCTTTTTCTAGTTCTAATGCGTCGCCTACAATATGCGGAGTAAGAAGTAAAAGTAATACACATTCTACAATAAGTTTATTAGTAATGAATCAGAAATCAGAAGAAATTGACCATCATAGTCAATTATTCTTCTTGCATTCGACTGTGATTAGTCAATTTCTATCTTTTGACTTCTGATAGAGTGTACCTAAGAAATTGACCAATCACAGTCGACTCTTCTTCTTACATTCGACTGTGATTGATCAATTTCTTATTTTTGCTTCTTGTACGCGACGCGTATTGTAGGCGACGCAATAGAATTAAAAAGAGATAAAGAGTTGTAATCGAATCGAGATTAAAATTAATCTGCAGTGATGGAAACAGACATAAGACTAAGCAGGACTGAATTGATTAATTACAATAAACAGGATTGCCACGGACCTGGAAAATCGAGGAAATTGGGAAAAGTCGTGGAAATTTAAATTGATCATGGAAAACCTAGAAAATTCAAGGAAAAATATAAGAAAGTCTGAAATTTCGTGCTTTGCTCAATTCCCTCAAAATGCTTTTATTCCAAACATTTGTTATATTTTTTAAAATAATATATTAACATTTATAGTTAAATATTGATTTTCTTAGTCAATATTTCAAACTGTGTATTAGGCCATGTATCAGTCATTATATTAAAAGAAATGTTATAATTCTTTTTTTAAATGTAGAAATTAGACATTTCTTAAAATGTCAAATTTTAATTTTTGTTTTAATTTTCATGCAGTTTAATACAAAACTTAATTTATTTTAATTAAACTTTGTTATAATTGAGATACATATTATATATTTTTTACTTCAAATTGCGGTATAATTAAAATTAAAGTAGTCAAAACAATTTTAATTAAAATAGTCAAAACAATTGAAATTTATATTTTACTCAGTATTTTACTCATTCTTTTCCGTTATAACTGAAATCTTTTTTCTAATACTCTTTTATTTTTTATTTCTTGACCTGAATGTTGCATCCAAGATTTCATTATGCTGCTAAGCTTCTAAATGTATGTTGTTTTTAATAATATAGGATAGAGAGCTTTCTTACAATCCCTACTTCTAAATATTAAAATTTACATATTTGATATTGATATTATGGAAAATGTTGTTTCTTGACACTGTCGCCTGGAAAACTTGGAAAAGTTCGGGAATTTCAAAATTCATTTTCTGAGCAACTTGGGGCAATAGCCTTACATTCTCTATTATGATTATCCGATTCGCTTAAGCTTAAATCATTTTACTGCCTTACTACTTGTTTTTGTATATGCCATGGATTTTAGGCAGTGTAACCAAACAGAAGTATTTAGCGGTTACAGTAATCATCCGTCGTACGTTCCGCTTGCCACTGCCACTCGTATTGCGGCGATTAAACCGGTAGCTTTTTTTTTTTATTTGGATCGCTGGCTGGTGCGGCAGAAGGCAGCAACAGCAGTGGTTTATGCAGTAACCTGTCATCGTCGGCAGCGACGACTGCGTCCTCTTGACGCCGGGTCGGTCGGTTGATACGGCGCCAGCGTCGTCTCTCCCACTTCCCGGCGACTCGTCCTCCCGGCCGACCTTCTCTCGAAACCACGTCCTTCCTTGGGTGTGGTTCGGGATCGTCGAGACGTCGTCTCTCAATCGTCGACAAGTCGTGGAACTCGCTTTTCAAGCTGCTGATCGTGGATTTCCTTCGTCTTGACGTCGCGGCTCCTGAATGACGCTCGTCCTTCTATATTCGTGATTCATGCGCCCGTCATAAGAACAAGGACGATTGTGCAGTGCGAACGGACGAGTCGAACAAGAAGTGCAAAGAGTGTACGGATAGAGGAGAGAGAGAGAGAGAGAGTGAATCAGAAAGATTGAGGAAGAGCGGGGTGAGAGCAACGACGACGTTCATCGATTCGCGTCGCGCTTTCACGGTTGCGTGCGAAACGCGACGGAAAAAGCGAGAGCTCCTCTCGCTGACGTACGTGCGTGTGTACATGTACCTCCGCAGTGCCTGTAAAACTAACCCGCAGTTCCGAGCAGTATCGGGAAAGGAACTGGAAGTGAAACCGCGGCGCTAGCCCAAAGTTCCAAAGTTCCCCGTTGTCGAAGAAAAGAGTTTCCCTCGCACGCACACGGACACGATTCGCGTGTTGACGGGCGCAACCTGGCGGTAACGAGCGGCAAGGCTTCTGACAGGGTTGCACGTCGTCTGCTTCGACCTGGTGGTAGAGGCGGCGGCGGCGGTGGTGGTGTTGGTGGTAGTAGTGGTGGTAGTGGTGGCGGTGGTGGCAGCGGTTCTTTCACAAGAGGTTATGTTGCTGCGGCTTCGATGACGCTCCTCTGACAGCAGTTGCGGTGACGGTGGGACGGAGCAAGTGGGTTCCATCGATGCGTATAAATCATACTTTCCACCTCGACGCGCTCGTAGGCGAGGACATCGTCTCTCTTTTTTTTTAGTCTTTTTTTTCCTCTTTACTCTCGCCGATCGAAGCTGCCGCGAGATTCTTGCTACTCGCTATTAGCTAGCCAGGATAATGGCGCGTCGTCAGGGAAAAGCGGAAGAACGATATTACATGACGTCGTTCCACCTGTTGTCAATAGCGCCCTTTCTCGTTATCGATAAATGCGCAAAAGTCTCAAGCTTCCGCCGATTTTTGCATTTTGACTCCCGGGATTTCGCCACGCGACCGTCGATTATTCATCGATAACGTTCTTTCACAGGTGGCAATATCGTTATAGTGCCATTATGGAATTGCATTTACATCTAGAGGAAAATAGTGACGGCAATTGTAAAAATGACAACTATACAAGTTTTATATGCAAAATTAGTTTATATAATTGTACAAACTATTTTATATTTGCAATAATTAAAATAGTTCATTTAATTGTGTGTACATTAATTCTACATACAGAACTTATTGTGTTGTTATGGAATTGCATTTTGTCTACATGTAAAGAAAAATAATGGCGGTAATTAAAAAAATGACAACTATACAAGCATTCTATATGCAGAACTTGTACTGTTATCATTTTTATAATTGCCACCACATAGCAAAATTTAATAGGATGCACTAGTGCGCACTGGTGCACGTTAAAATCGTACAAATCAAAGTAAAAATATATGTATTTAATATAAGTATACAGAGTGGTCCACTTAAATCGACCATCTGAAATATCTCGACCTCTATTAAGCCAGCAGGACCAAATGAGCAGAATCAATCCGGACCAATTTAATTTTTTAGTACTCATTTTGTACTAATTTGTACCACCAATAAAAATTTTGTACTCTGTGCTGTTTTGAAAAAAAACGTGGCACTGCTAGCTTAATATTAAGCTAGCAGGATCACATAAAAGAAAAAGGAAAAAGAAGAAACAAAGGTACAATTGAAAAGAACTGAAATTATACAAGCAAGAAAATTACCGGTGTGAAGTTGGCACCCCATTTTGAAAAAATCGATATTTTATACACAGTTCCGTTTGCACCCACAATAGTTCTACAGTTCCTGCTAAGTTTTAACAATAGTTCCGCTGATTTAACTAAAAAAAAAATTTTTTTTATAAATGGGGTGCCAACTTCGCGTGGCACCCCAAGTATCGCAAAAATTAATTTTTATCACGAAATTCTAAAGTTCTCGAAGAGTTCTACAGTTCCTGATAGGTTTCAGCGACAGTTCCGGCCTTTAAGTATTTTTAAACAATTTTTTAAAGTGAGAGCCAGCACCCCACCGCAAGAGTAAAGTACCGCATAACGGTCATTGGTTTTTTGATATTACTACCTTAATACTTTTATATGCAGAATAATTAGAGGAATCATATCGTGTAAAAAAATAATACAATTCCATTTAAAAAAAGTGGAGATGACCTTCATATTTTTTTGGCGCCTCCACCTAGAAAAAAAAACAACCAAAATACATCCCCCTCGAAACCGTTCCACTTTCGTTTCAAACATTTTTTTATATCATCAAAAATAAGCGAGATATTCAAGATGTTCGATTTAAGTGGACCACCCTGTATATTAAATCGCGAAAAAATATATTGTGCTGTTATTATTGCGCTGTTTTATGAAATATATATATGGGCATTTTATCATTCGAGTTATTTGCATTTCACTTTTGTATTCAGAGATTAGATCAATGTATATACCAACTATAATATATGCCAGTGCGTGTCAGTGCATTCAATTAAATTCGCTGTATGCTTTTTCTCTGTGTGTAATATATATGTTTTTTATTTCTTCGTTTTTCAAATAAATATCTGCACGCAGAAATGAATAAAACATGAATTAACATCGTGGGTAATTACATTATTTGCGAGGTTGCATAAAAATACTAATGTCAGTTTTTGGTTTTATCAATTGACTCTTTCTTTTTTTTCATTTGTAAATCGATTTATTGAAAGATACATAGCTTCTACACTATTATCTCTTTTCTTTTATTGATGGGCGCTAATGTCATAAAGTTTCTGTGCCCTTGTGACAATCTATTTTACTCTGAATTCAATAAAAAATCTAAATTTCTCTCTTTCTCTCTCTTTCTCCCTCCCCCCCCCCTCTGTTTCTCTCCGACTCGCGATTATCTAATTTGTCTTTTCTGTTTGTAAAAACTTTATGATGTAGTGCGAAAATATTTCTTGTGATTTTGTTCTTTTCTGAGATGTTTCTCAGATTTTTCCTTCATGTTTTTTCAAATCTGATGTATTTTCTCGGAGATAATTGATTAGTTATAAGTCGGTAAAATTTTCAGCGAGCATTGAAATTAACACGGACAAGTTAATTTACATTACGTATCCTAGTTTTCGGAAAAATTCTTGTTTTCCGATCTCATTTGCACGAGCGCCGAACTTTACTCTTGCTGTCGGCTTAATTTGGAAGATGAGGACATCCAAGCGTTGGATTGATAATTCTCGGAGTTTCCCTGGGTCGTAAAATTTCGCGGAGGTAAAGGACGCACCGTAGATCTCTGTGATCCGTGATTGTTCGAGAATAGTTGCAAATAGCATAATGAAAAGGAAAACTTATGTAACCAAACAAGATTACGTAGATTTGTGAGATGTCCACTTTTCTCTCGACGAGGAAAAATTTCAAGATTTGCAGCACCGATAAAATTCTTCGAAGAATTTATTTATTTACGTATTAAAAGAAAATTGATTAATGTAAAAAAGTAATCGATTGTTATTTTGTTATTTGATCGTATACCTTGCACCTTTAAAATATCATTTTATTTTTTTTTAATTTGCTAACATTCTACAGATAATATGAGACACATGTTTTGCGAGAAAAATGTGAGATCTTTTTTTTTTGTGAAGTTATTGACGCTTCTAAGTTGCAGAAATTCATAAACAACGTCGCTCATTTCGAGTATTCAAATTATTATATCATCGAAACCATTAGTCGTACAAAAAAATGCAACATTCCAATTTTTTATTATTATGTCGATATGATAATTTGAATGTTCGAATGAGTGACGTTTTTTATGAATTTTTGTGCAACTTACAAGCGTCAATAACTTCACACAAAAAAAGATCTCACATTTTTCGCGCGAAACGTGTGTCTCATATTTTTATCTGTAGAATATGTTAGCAAAAATGTTTTCAAAAAAAAAAATTAATAACGATGTTTCAAAGATGCACGGTTTGACGACTTTGACGTGGAATGCCTCATAGATTGTACACTGAAAAAAAAATTTTAATTTCAAAGAAATACTTCTTTGCTCGTATTAAAAAAAGTCATTTCTTTGGAACAATAAAAATTTTTTTGAAAATAAGGTATTGTACATTAAGATTTTTTTTTCAATGTTTGTTTATACTAATAAAGTCATTTTAAGGAGAAAACATGTAAAATATTAACTTACTTTTTAATGGTACAAATTAGTACAAATTCAGTTATTAATTTCTGCCCTTGTATTTTTGTTTTTTAAATTACTAACATATGTACAAAATTATCATTAATGGTACAATTTAGTACAAAATAAGTACTAAAATTTCCGATAGATCCGATTTGATTCTGCTGATTTGGTCTTGCTAGTTTTATATAGAGTTTTTAAGATATTAGTATTGTAATAGAATTATATATTGTAAAAGCGGAATAGTTTCGACTTTATTCGTCAGTCTTCATCAGCCGCATTGTAATAAACGAAATTACAAAAATCTAAAAATTACATCAAAGATTCAAAATATACCGTTGTCACAATAAAGTAATACTAGAATCAAATATTGTCATCCCTTCTTCTATGTGACAGAATCTATGTCGGTGTCTAATATAGTATTTCTTTCTTAGGATCTTTCCTCCGTTAACAATTTTATTTCCTATATTTCTTATTATTCTCCAATACGCTTTCATGACTGAATTTGTCATAATAAATATTCGTCATTATATAAATTTTCTCCACAATTATGAAAATATGTGGAGAATTATTTTTTACATTTATTTTTCCAATATAATTGGATGGCGAAAATCGTATAACTTATCAAGAATATAAGTGGCAAACACACACGTGTCAGTATTTTTCAGTCAATTATCGGTTTTTCGAGTTTATCGATATTACGTTGCAGTAACTAGTCGTACCAGCGTCGACCGATCGCTCGTCGTTGTGACGGTGATACACGTCGCGCGGATGACGTTTTTCTCGAGGAAAAGTACGCGCTGAGGAAAACTCGTATCTCTGAGTAGCTGACAAGAACTTGAGGGAGAAAGAGAGGTCGCGATAAAAATATCTGTATGCGTTGTACAACCAAAATATTTTTAGAGAGCCGATAATTATATACTCTTTCATCTTTATGCGTTTGACATGCGTCTATACGTGATAAGAGAAGCGCTCTATTATTTTTTTTAATTATTTTTATTAATATCTTTTAAGGCCCCGGATTTAGATTAAGCAAAAAGCGCGAACAAGCGAATGAATTGCTTCGATAAATGCAAAAGACGATAGAATATACATATTTCATTCTTTTTTAATATATCAAAAGAGAAGAGCTCGTTATATTTATTACATTTGTCATAAATATTTGTTTGTTTTTGTTCGTTCTAGTTTGAATTAAACTTATTTTAATGAGATTTGTCATAATTTCTATTCAGAAAAAAAATATGGTAACAGTAAACTGTATGTATAGGTAACAACTATACAAATTTTATTTATAAATTGTAAAATTAATGTATATATATATAACGGGTGTTTCAAAATTCGCGTCCGCGAAGTACAAGACGTGATACTTTATGCTAAAAGAAACAACTTTTTCCTTTTGCAAAATTGCCTCTGATAAGTAGTTTTTGCAGAAGAGCAAGTTGAATTCCGGTTGGAACTGAAAACAAATATTCGGTTATCATTTAATTTCGGCCGAAAACGAAACTGAAACTTAGATAAGTCTTAGAGAGAGAGAGAGAGAGAGAGAGAGAGATTTTTTAAATAAATTTTACAGAGGGGCTATATGATTTTCAGAAATCATGATAAATTTATGTACTCTTTAAAAAACAAGATTTTATTAAAATATTTAACTATAATAATATAATAATATTGCATCCTTAACTTTTAAAGAAATCAAATTATAAAAGTTTGTACTCAAATTGTCTTACGCTTAATCAATGAGTTAATAATTAAAATTGAACAGTTGTTTTTTAAACGCTACCGGTGCGTTGCAATTTGTCAGGTTCGGTTTACTCACCGAAATTTTCTCTTAATTTCGGCCGAAACCGAAATCAAATCCAAACCCTGATTTTTTACCGAAACTGACCGAAACCAAAATTTCGGTCGGACTCTATTTGTGTAGTTATTTGTATATAAGTTGCTGTATATAACTGTCTTCTTCTCTGAGTACAACTATACGAGTTTTATAGAGGTTCCTCATAATTCAGCTTTTTCTCAGTTGCAATAGTTATAAAATAGTTTATTTAATTATATATGTACATATATTAATTCTAAGTATAAACTCGTACAGTTGTCATCTCTATAGTTGCCAGCATTATAAAAAAATGATTTCTTTTCTAAGTGTAATATCGGTACATTAATGAATATTTACTTTAAGAATATATATCAATTACTAGGTGCTTCTCATTTAGTGACAAGTCGATAAAAACGACATAAAATATAATTACTAAATGTCAAAAAAGAAAGTATCCAGCATAATTCGTTCTTTTTTATGCAATATTCGAATTTATATTTTATTCAGTATTTTTATTTAATCCCTCTTTTTTGTCGTAACTGCATTCTTTTTTCAAAACTAATTTATTTTTTGCTAGCTCGAATTTGCACCCAAAATTTTACTATGCTACTAAGCTCTTTTGCGTTTTTAATAATATAGCTTTCCTACAATCCGTGAGTCTAAATGTTAAAATTTACGTATTTCATATTAGTCATGGAAAATTTTCCATTTTCATCTGGAAAACCTGGAAAAGTCAGGGAATTTTAAAATTCATTTTCTGTGGCAACCCTGGCATCGTACGCGAGAAATATAACGTTCTGTTTATCACCGGCGGTAACACACGACAGATGGAATGGCCGTTGATTTATGTAACACCTCTGCTTTCTTCGTAACAAAGAATAAATCCTAGCGTCGCGGTAAAACAGCAATGACACGTTTGTAATTGTATATAACTTAACAATGTTACACTGATTGTGAGAGAAAAGTATTTAGTATTTGTAACTATAATTGGCATGGTAAATTAATTATGGTTAGAAGCTCCATAGTTATTACTATAATGCTAATAATTAATAATTACATTTATGCTTTCACAAAAGTATCTAGTTGGCACCGAAAATTACTATAAATTCTTTGGAGTGGAATCTCACTCTTTTTCAATATTAGCTCACTTTTCACTCTTTAGAGCGAGCTCTTACTCTTCAGAGTGACAATTCACTCTAAAAGTTTTAAAGAATAAATTATAGTAATTGCAACCTGTCAGTGTATTAAAAGAATTTAAATATATTTTTTTGCGAATTAAAGACACGCGGGCGATATTATATAAATTAACTTAAAGACTTTTTATGTACTATTTGTCAGTTGTACTTGATTCACTTGATATTTTATGTTCTAGGGGTGGCAACGGTCTCGTTGGGCAGTGTCGAAGTTGGCGCGAAGGGTAGAGAGGTCAGCTGTGATCTGGCTTTGGTTGCGGTGGTAGCAGCGGAAGCGGAAGCCGCTGCAGTAACGAAGACAGGGGGTGAGGAGGTGGGGCCGGGTGAAACTGGTAGTAGTCCCGACTTTGTTAGGCGGAGACACAAATTTTATCCTTATCCCCATTTTCATTTATCTCCTTTTCCTTCACCTGTCACCTTGCCTTACGAGAGTGGTAAGTTCAGGGGCGTTTGCCACTGGCCACCGGAAACGCTGTCGACGGCGTGACACCGGCTTCGCAATTAGCCTTACTCCTCCCACAGAGAGTAGGCGCCGTAGACAGGAGCTACCGTCATCCGTCATTATCGTAGAAATTCTGAGCCCTCCCTGACGAGAGGAGGGAGCTCCAGCAAGTCCCTCTCGCACGCACGACGTCCCAGTATCTTGTACCCGTTAACGGGTGCTTATAAGGCACGCGCGTCATCTGCCAGACATCATGAACGAGCTCGATAGCCTTCGTCAAGAAGCGGAGACGCTGAAAAATGCTATTCGGGTAAGTACTCGCTTTTTTACTTCGAGATCATTGTTTCTTCCTTTTCTTGTTAAAAGGTATTAAAATATATAGGGCACACACCAAATATCATCATATCATTTAATTATCCAATTTTCAGGTTTCAATTCTATATTAGTTCTACACGAATTTGGTTAAAAATAATGTGCGTGTATGTGTGTGCGCGCGTGCGCATAACTTATTTCGCGTGCGATTTCCGTAAAATGTTTTTAATTAAAGTCGCAAAGAAAATATTACGAATAATTTGTCAACTTACTTTATTGCTATTTTTATAATTGAATTTTTTGAAATAAAAATTTATTAAATTATTTGCAATTATGACGATGATCCATTAGCGAGTAATACGCTAAATACGTTAACCCTATAATATCAAATAAAAGATATTTTAAGAGAATAGTATAATTGGATCCTTTCCAACAGATCGAATCGACCCATTTGTCTCTTACACCAGATTTTGCAATTTTATGTAACTCTCTTCCGGCTTTCTTTGCTCGGAACGTTAAAGCGAGTATTGTAAATTTTAACGATAGAGAGATATTCTATGGCGAATGACTTTCCACATAGTTGTGAGAATATAGAACCGAGTAGCGGTGGTGGTAGTGTGGTGGTGGTAGGGCGCGGCATAACCGTCGCTTCTCTGATCAATACACCACCATCCCTCTCTCCCTCACTCCATATCTTGTTTCTTCTCTAGATGTATTCGTCTCTCTTCGTTTTCTGCTTCCCTTCCTACCCTCTTCTTTCATACATGTATAAAATGTACGCGCTCGTACGGTATGCGTGGAAATATGCGCTTACGATGAAAGGAAATAACTCTATCGATCTTGTCTGCTAATTATTTATGACGCGTGTGATTTTTTTTAAATCACAGTTTATTCAGCAAAATCCCTAATATACGTAATGGATACGTGTACCATGAATGCTAAAATATTTTCTTATGTCTAACGATTTTTTTATATTCGCCCAAAATGATTTTATCAAAAAGATATCATCCTCGATTGAAGTTATATGTTACATAGTAAGTTACAATGAAAATTTATTATAAAATGAATTATAAAACGAAAATGCGAAATATAGTGCGGTCTTATTTTAGAAATCAATGGTCTTGTATATACTCGTACATCTTTAGTATATCTTTAGTCTACTAAAGGCAAAGAGTTATATATCCAATATACTCCAGTATTAAGTCGCTTTAAGTACTACTGTCTACTGTATTATAATCCGATTTTAAAGGTCAGCTGAAAGATAGTATTGCGACATAATATCGGATTAGACACACGAGCATTATTTACCGGATTGGACAATTTACCGGATTTTTCCCTCGTCCCGTAAACTTCCCTTTTCTAATTCCTTGAAATTCATGGAAATTTTCAGCATTCTATTTAATTTAGTGACATGTTCGGTCATGATCGTCGGTTGACCTTTCATGCTTAATTCGTGTATACACAGGAATAACACTAAACGAAGTTTTCACATAGAATTTACTAAATTTTCGTGTGATGTATATTCGCTACCGGCGCGTTCCAATTAAGATGCTGCTTCAACGTAAAATTTGGAAGTTTTAAATTGTGTGTGCGGTGCTTGCAGATACAATTTTCTAGTCATTGTTTATTATGTGGCTAATAGTAACGAATAATTGCATACGATACGACGAAGTCTTTCTTATCACGTTATCGTGAATCTTATCGCGTATATTAGAGATCAAACGCGGGAAACAGATCCTGACGCAAATTTACATACAAATATAAGTCAAACTGGACCGACGAGAATAAATCAATTAAGAGAAATAATCCTATTCCGTCAAAGTGGATTTTCGTGTTTCAATATTTCAGTGTTTATGTACATATCCAATTGTGCAATTCGCGTGCCGAAATCTTTTTCAGTCTCGAAACGCAATCATGAATAGAACTAGAGTAGTGGTACCACATATAAAATTGACAAGCAATTTAATAATTAATATTGATGTTAATAAGCGTCTTATAAGAATATTAACAATATAAGCATTTTAAAAACTGTAAATAATTTATTGCGAAAAATATTATCTCAGCCAAGATTCGAATCCGCATCTTTCATTTACAAATTTGCCTGTAATTTCATGCTGCAGGATGCCAGGAAAGCAGCATGCGATACGACCTTGGCCCAGGCCACATCAGGCATGGAATCTATCGGTCGCATACAAATGCGAACGAGACGTACGCTTCGCGGTCATTTAGCTAAAATTTATGCGATGCACTGGGGAAGTGACTCGAGGTATGACGTTAGATGCAAACACGTTAATTCAATGGCGATTGGCATGTGAAATTGTTGATCATTTTAATTACCTGGAGCTGATGATGGTTCTATTGGATCCACTCAGTTATATTCTTCATATCATCTGCAAATTCGAATTATTGAAGTGTTATTAAAACAAACTTAATATTTACGTACACATTCTCTTTTCTACGAGTTATGTTATTTTAGTTTTTTAATAATAATTAGTACCTTTTAGTCAATATTAAATTACAACGAATCTCATAAACTCAACGTTAGTAACTATATTAGATTTTGATCTTTGTCTCTAGAAAGTTAACGTGAATAAAATTTTAGTAGCAATAGTAATGATTTTTTGAAAAGAAGGATTTAAGAAAGTAGAAAAGTACATATTTTATATATGTATACATATATATATATATGTATATATATACATGGTGTCCGATAATTGTTCTGACGGAGTTCAATAATTTTTTACTCAAACACTATCAACTTCACAGAAAAACTGCAAGAGATGAAAATTATTAATTTTGTCATAGAACTCTACGAATTTTTTCAGAATTTTTTATCATTTTTAGTACTACATTTTCTCATTTTTATCAATATGAGAAAATACAGTACTAAAAAGTTGATAAAAAATTAAAAAAAAATTCTTAGAGCTCTATAAGAAAAAAATAAATAATTTTTGTCTCTTGCAGTTTTTCTGAAAAGTTGGCAGCATTTGAGAAAAAAATTATTGAAGACCAATTTTCGGCAATTTTTAGCAATTAATATCTTGTTAACTATTGCGAAAATTGCAAAATGGTAAAGGACTTTCCATTTCAGTTTAGTTCGCTCTACATGTCCACGAACTCCGTCAGAACACTTACCGGACACCCTGTATATATACACAAAAAGCGCAGGACACCCTCATAGTGTGTATGTGTGTGTATGTGTGTATATATATATACATTATGAGGATATCCGCGATTTTTACCAAGCGCTTTTTGTAAATAAAGAGGACTAAACAAAGTCGAAAAGTCCTTTACCTTTTAACCAGATATTATATTTAACCAGATATTATGATTAATCAGATATTAATTACTAAAAATTGCCGAATATTGATTTTCAATAATTTTTTACTCAAGTACTATCAATTTTATAGAAAAACAGCAAGAGGCAAAAATTGTTTCATTTTTTCTTATAGAGCTCTAAGAATTTTTCTAGAATTTTTGATTAACTTTTTAATACTTCATTTTCTTATTGGCAACTATTTTTGCCAGCATGAGAAAATATAGTATTAAAAAATTCTCAGAACTTTATGAGAAGAAAATAAGCAATGGCAAAAGTCTCGCGAGACACCCTGTATATATATATATATATATATATATGCAAATTCACCATGTAAAAAGTGATTACGATATACATATGTGTGTGATTAGTTTTTTGTACAAAATTAACACATTATACTGTATACAAAAATGGATTTACACATGTACATTTAAACATGTAGTATAGTATCATTTTTACATGGAAAATTAATCACACATATATGTATATTGTAATGACTCTTTTTACACACTTAGATTTATAATGTTAGAGATACAAATAGATCTTTATTTTATATTTTACGATACTTCAAAATAATGGTTATATGCAAAATTTTTAAAATAAAGGAAGTTTCCTTTGTTAAGTTTTTATTAGCATATATTTTGTTTCTCGTGCATAGGAATCTAGTCTCTGCATCGCAAGATGGCAAACTGATCGTTTGGGATAGTTACACTACCAATAAGGTTCACGCGATCCCATTACGGTCATCATGGGTAATGACTTGTGCGTACGCGCCCTCGGGTAGTTACGTGGCATGCGGCGGGCTGGACAATATCTGTTCCATCTATAGTCTTAAAACTAGGGAAGGGAATGTTCGGGTGAGCAGAGAACTTCCAGGTCATACTGGATACTTGTCCTGCTGTCGGTTTTACGACGACAACCAAATCGTCACCAGTTCCGGTGATATGTCTTGGTAAGTATCACTTATGAGATTTATGATGGATGACCAAAAATGGTTATGACAGTAAAATCCTATGTTCTTTATATTTTAAAACTTTATTTTCTAAACTTTTGCAAGGTAAAATAAAAAGTATATAACTATATATAAAATACATGAAAAATTTAATACATAAAATAAAGATAAAATTATATATTTCTTTTTCCTTTGTCTCTTATATTTTTTAATTTAAAAGAAAATAAAAAATTGAAATATCATGAATACAATCGTATTTTTTAATACCTTTTATCAAATACAAACATTATAAACTATTGCATTTAGTAAACCAAAAACGTAATAAAAATATACATAATAGAAAACGGTAAAAAAAATTTTTTTTTCCTCTGTCTATTCCCAAATCCTTTCCGTCGTTGATCCCGATGAAGACTTTTGTAAATTATAACGTGAACTAGAATGCTGAATTGTTCTGATTCAGTGCTTTATGGGACATCGAAACTGGCCAGCAATGTACGTCATTTATCGGGCATACTGGCGATGTGATGTCTTTGTCGTTGGCGCCGGATACACGCACCTTCGTGTCCGGTGCGTGCGACGCCAGCGCGAAGTTATGGGACATTCGTGAAGGCTCCTGTAAGCAGACCTTCCCGGGTCATGAGAGTGACATAAACGCCGTCACGGTGAGATATTATATTAAGAAAAAAAAAATGAAGAATTACCTTTTCGTAATGGTAATGCTAATGCGTTTTCGAGAAACGTTTCATTAAGGATTAACTTGATGGTTTGGATATTACAGTTCTTCCCGAATGGATATGCTTTCGCGACGGGCTCAGACGACGCGACCTGCAGACTTTTCGACATTAGGGCGGATCAAGAGCTCGCGATGTATAGTCACGACAATATCATTTGCGGTATCACCAGCGTAGCTTTCAGCAGGAGCGGTAGATTATTGCTGGCGGGCTACGATGATTTCAACTGCAATGTTTGGGATTCTATGAAGACGGAGCGAGCTGGTAGGTTGACGATACCTTACGGCCGTTTTAATATCGTGAGAGAGAAGAAAGATTTTATTCGAGGCTTTTCTCTCGATCATTTTCTTTCGAGTTTATTATTATCAATTTTAATTATTGGAGTAAAAGATAAAAATTATTCTCACTATTGTATTAAAGAATATTTCCTTTATAATTGGTTTTCTAGGAATTCTCGCTGGGCATGACAATCGTGTGTCTTGTCTCGGCGTGACGGAAGACGGCATGGCGGTGGCGACGGGCTCCTGGGATTCGTTCCTACGCATTTGGAACTAACTTGGGGCTGTCCCAAGGACGTTCCTTCAAAGAACCAACTACAGTCAACCAATTTACAGCATAAGAATCAAGTACCACCATCTGACCACCGAGCAAGTCGGCGTGCCAGCAGCCACGACACTGGCAAACAATTCGCCAGGTTCACCGGAGTTGATGCTGATCAGAAACTTTGGATACCGGATTAGTAGCAGTAGCAGCAGCAACGGCAGTAGTAGCAGCAACAATAACAATTATGAGCGTATGAAGACCCATGATAACAGCGACAACAGCAACGGCGGTGATTTCAAGAACGTTTTAGGTTATGGTGGTAAAAAAGATTCCCACGGCAAGCGCATCGTAGTTGACTTGACCTGGCGACGCAGTAAAGTCGGCGACAAGGACCACGAATATCAACGCTTCTAAGAATTCTCGAGTTAGATCAAATACGAAGATATATTGCAGAAAAAGAGCGCGCGGCGAAGGATGAGACGTAAGAATGGAGAACAAGCGCCAACAAGGTCGATAGTTGAGAACTCTGCGGCATTGGGCGCAGACTTTATTTTTATCCTTCCCTTTTTTAAGGACTTTCTTCGCGAACCTTCGAGATGCACGTGCTAGTTCACAACTGATAGTTCTTTTCCCACGGGGGCACTCCCAATCGAGGATTCCGAACTTCGAAGGACGGACGACAATCTCGCGCCGACGATCGTCGAGAGATTTCCATCTCGAACCAAGGTTCAAGCGTTCACTGCCGAGGAAACGCTGTTAATGTTTGCTCCGGCGACTAGCTACGAATTATTTTTCCCATGCGCAAAATGAGATTTTATCGAGCATGATACATGTAATCGTAATAATGCGTCGCGACTCAGAGATGAGAGACAAGCACAGTCAAGCTCATAATCCCAGTAATGATGCGTTCGAGTTTATACGGCGCACATTGAACACATATGTGTATCGATGGAGATTTACGACACGAATTGCGTACACTTGCACGCGAAAACGGCGGAACGGTGCGGATCGTCCAGCAGCCTCGAGACACAT